AGTACCCCTCCAGTCTATTAAGGGTTTTGGTCTAAGATTTTAGTCCTTTCAGGCTTGTTGAGCATTTCTTTTAACATAAGCAAATATACGCAAAACTGAAGGGGGCACATTTTAAAATGATTTTAACCTAAACGTATCTGAAAAAGACTGAACTGAAACCTACACACACACACACACACACACACACACACACACACACGTGCCCAGAACCAGACACGTGTGCACGCCTGCACACACAGAACCAGACCCACCCATGCAGACAAGCACAGAGAACCAGACACACAGACGCACGTGCACACATTCAGACTTACACGGAAGGTAACACACGTGCAAATGCGCACACAGAACCACGCACGCGCAAACAAGAGAACCAGACATGCCCACACGTCCAGAACCAGACACACGTGTGCCCACGTGCACACACAGAACCGCATGCAGACAGAAGCACACAGACGCACTTGCACGCACACACACAACCACGCACATACGCAAGCGGCCGGCTGCTGGGCCGCAGCCCCTGTGCTGCCCGCCGGAGCCGTGGACAACGCAATCCCGGCCCTGCTGCTCTCACCTCGGGCTCTCCTCGTCGATGCGGCGGCAGCAGGAGCCGGAGCGATGCCTCTGCTGCTGCTCCCTGCCCCGCAGCCTCGGCGGGGCTGGTGTTCCCGCTGACCCCAGCGCCCTCCTTGCCCAGCTCTTCGCTCTCCCGGCAGCCCGGGAGGATGCGTCGGGGCGGGCCTGTCAGAGCTGCAGCAGCCGCCGGCTGGCAGGAAGGAGGGCTGGAAGCGTGCTAGTACAGCCACCGCTGCACAAGAGGCTTCTACCCTGCCAGTGACAGCTCCTCCCGAGGGCTCTTGACGCAGCTTTTGCTTCTGAGTCTCTTGAAAGAGCCCGGCGCAGCAACTTAATTAAAAAAAACCAAACAAATTCCTCTGCACACTCCTGGCCTGCCGAGGAAAATGCCTCCACGTGCCCCTCGCGAGCCGGGGGTTGCCTGTTCCTGGTTTAGTAGGTCCCCCGCCCCCACCCAGCCTTGATGAAAACGGTTAAACAAAGGGTTTTAGACACAAAAGACCTGTAAAGAATTGAGCCGAGCCCTGAGTCACAGCTGGGCGGTGCAGCCGGGCTCAAGCTGAGCTTTTAAATGGGTTCTTTCCTAAGTAAGGTGAAGGAAGGCTTTTCCGGATAGTTTAAAATGAACCCCCCAATTTGGATGTTAAACTTGCGGGCGATCTCCCTGGGTGTCTAAGTATTGCTGGGGGTGCTGACCTTGCACACAGGCGCACACACAGAGGCACGCACATTTGCACACACACGCACCGAACACAGAGATGCACACACACAGAGGCGCCTGTAAACTCACACAGGCAGACACGCATACACACACAGAGAACACACACACATCACGCATATGCGCACACCCCCACACACGCGCACACAGAAGCGCGCACACAGAACACAGACACACACGTGTGCACACATATAAGCACAGACACGCATGAAAACCATAGTTCGAGTGAGGCCGCACTGAAGCGCCCGGCATCCCTCGCTCCAAGTCCTACAGAAACTGCCCCCATCGCCCCTACCGCCGCGAAATCCTGCGAAGGCAAATCTGTGTGTCTGATTCCGTAAGGAAGTGTGGCGACATGAAACCGCCTCATTCCCGGCACTTGTCTGCAGCTCTTTATTTGATAAAAGCGGACTGGTCTTGATTCCGCGCCCCCTGTCGCAGCCCTTTGTGATCCAGATCCGACCCGCATCGCGCAGCATCGTTTTCGTTACCGGCGCTTCCCCGCAGCGGGCTCGGGCTCCGCGTTAGGCAGAGCGCTCGGAAGATCAAGTAGACTTGATCTGTCCTTTGTTGCGTTTCGCCTTGCGGAGATCTTGTCTCTTTTAAAGGAAGCCGACGGAAACTAATCTGCTATGTGGGGATTCTTGATTTATTTCTTTTAAGAAAACAGCCTGTTTTCTAGTCAACGGAGTTTTAAACAAACGAGGCTGCATTTCTAGGGACTTACAAACAAGAGGCACGTACGAGAGAGACAAAGCGCGACTTGGGTTTCACCTTTGCTGTGGGATCCCCGCAATACATCCCTTTTCCGTAACATCACTCAATCCCTCAGGTTCTTGTTTTGTGGCACAGACTGGGTCACTTAAAAAAATCCCCCTTCCTCTTGCTGGGACTGGACGTTTCGGAAGCGTAGGAACACGTGAACTGCTAAATGTAAATTCTTAAATGTGTTTGAAGCACTTAGTAACCAGCCCCACTGGTGGGAGCCCGTGTTTGAAGTGCGGGACACGTGTTTGTCTGGACTTTGTCGGAGTTCAAAGGGAGATGGGGGGTGAGGGGGT